AGAGAATCGCTTAAGCCCAGGAGTTGGAGGTTGCTGTGAGCTGTGATGCCATGGCACTCTACCCAGGGTGACAGCTTGAGGCTCTGTCTCAAAAAAAAAAAAAGAACATGAATTTTGGAGACAGACTACCTGGATTTGATATGCCACATGATTAGCTATGGAACAGAGGACAAGTTACTCAATCAGTTATTTTCTGGGAGGTTCAGTTTTTCTTATTTTGAAATGGGGATAATAGAGGTATTTACTTTATAGGGTTATGTGAGAATTAAATCAGTTAATGTACATAAATAGATTTAACCACTGGTTGCCACATAGTAAATGCTATGTAAGTATCAGCAATTAATCAACACAGCTGTCTGAAGAAATGAAATAAAATCAAACCACTGCAGTTGAGGTTTAAGAAACTAAAAGTAGTGAGACTGTCAGGAATATAATTAAAAGGGTTTTAAGCAAGAGAATGACCATTATAATAAACATCTAACTTTTTTTTTTTTTTTTGTGAGTCAGAGTCTTACTATGTTGCCCTCAGTAGAGCACGGGTGATGTCACAGCTCACAGCAACCTCCAACTCTTGGGCTTAAACAGTTCTCTTGCCTCAGCTTCCCAAGTAACTGGGACTACAGGTGCCTGCCACAACACCCGGCTATTTTTTGTTGCTGTTGTTGTACTTGTTGTTTTAGCAGGTCTTGGCCTGTTTCAAACCTGCCAGCCCCAGTGTATGAAACCGGCACCCTAACCACTGACAGGCACTGAGCCCTAACTATTTTTTTGGAAACAAGAGCCTCACTCTGTTCCCTGGGTAGAATGCTATGGCATCATCATAGCTCACAGCAACCTCAAACTCTTGAACTCATATGATTCTCTTGCCTCAGCCTCCTGAAGAGGTGGGATTCCTGGCGTGCACACCATCACACCAACTAGTTTTTCTATTCTTCTTTCTTTCTTTCTTTTTTTTGGAAACAGAGTCACAAGCTGTCACTCTTAGTAGAGTGCTATAGCATCACAGCTCACAGCAACCTAAAACTCTTGGGCTTAAGTGATTCTCTTGCCTCAGCCTCTCAAGTAGCTGGGACTACAGGCGCCTGCCACAATACCCAGCTATTTTTTGGTTGTAGTCGTCATTGTTGTTTGGCAGCCCCAAGCTGGATTCGAACTCACCAGCTGCAGTGTATGTGGCTGGTGCCCTAGCCGCTGAGCTATAGGCGCCGAGCCTAGTTTTTCTACGTTTTAGTAGAGACAAGGTCTTGCTCCTGTTTAGGCTGGTCTCAGAGAACTCCTGAACTCAAGCACGCCTGAGCTCAAGTAATCCACTTGCCTTGACCTCCCAGAATGCTAGGATTACAGTGTGAGCACTGAGCCTAGCCAAATTAACTTTTGAAATTCCTCCCCTCCAAATCCCATCTTCTATATAGCCAAAAGAACACAAACCAATTATCAGGTTCCTCTCATCAAATTTCCAAAGGCTCCTAGCCCTACTTATGACTACAAGACAAGAGCTAGACTCCTCACACAATTGAAATGAAGGCTCCTTTCATCATTTTTTTTTCTGAGACACAGTCTCACTTTGTTGCCCTCCTTAGAGTGCTATTGCATCACAGCTCACAGCAACCTCAAACTCTCGGGTTTAAGTGAATTCTCTTGCCTCAGGCTCCCAAGTACCTGGGACTACAGGGGCCTGTTCCAATGTCCAGCTACTTTTTGGTTGTAGTTGTCACTGTTGTTTGGCAGGCCTGGACTGGGTTCAAAACAGATAGCTCCAGTTTTGTAGCTGCTGAGCTGCAGGCACCGAGCCAGAAGGCTCTTTTCAATATCACTCCAATTTACCTACTTCCCTTTCCAAGCTATCTTCAACCACCAAAATGTAAGGACACTTCATGTTTTAATCATACAAATGTCTCGCTGTTCTCAACACTGAGACTACTATAGCTTTCTTCTCTCCCTTGCAATAATTCCTTTGCTCAAGTTTGATTGGAAATATGGTTACAATTCAAGGTACCTTCACTCTCAGCTCAATCTCTTTCCAACTGTGTTAGAACAACTGTATTTCTACAAAACCCTCAAAAACTTGCAGCTGATGTGAACTTACACATCAATTCAGATAGACAATATACTATTTCTTCTTCCTACTTCAGAGCTTACTCATTTCCTCAGAGGTCCCATATTAAAGCCCACAATTCTCTTTATAAAAACAGAAAGATTTTCTGAAAGGCAATAAAACACTAAGTCAACCCAAATTCAGGATAACTCCATCAAGATCACCAGTACAAACAAACATTAGCTGTCCTGAAAGTCAGAATTAAAGGCATGGGTTCGTGTTTTTTTTTTTTTTT